ACCATTACTTAAAAGATGAAAACGTATCAATATGTGAACTGTAATGAATATGGACCAATGACCTCAAGAAATGGAATAGAGAGAGCTATGTGCGCTAAAGAGGATGGCTTAGGATGGAGAAGGGTGGGATTCCACGGCTGTCAAGCTTGGTGATGATGAAATACAGTTTGATTACGATAATATACCGGATCGCCATCTACCCAGGCTGTCCAGCTCACTGGTATGGACTAGCAACTGTTTCCTCCTGCACAGACTGCTGAACAGATTGCAGAGTCGGCCACTGAGATGGATCAGTTCAACACGAAGAGCTATCTGTATTGACTCATCCATTGATGAGCTCTACTCATTCCCGGCAGACACAATCAAAAGTCTAAAGCTTTACAAGCTTGATACCTTAATATGATTGAGTGGAGATATGAAAGAAGAAGAGCTATAACAAATTAAAACATTAAGACGCAAATGTTTCTTTTCACAAATAAATCAAACTTCTACTGTCCTTACGGCAATGAAAAAATATTGGAAGGGCTTGACTTATCAGTGGTGAACCCTCCCAACGGTTTCACCAATTTAATCTACCAGACCGCCTCTTTAGAGCTCTATTACTGTATTTTATCATTCTGCATTTATATGCAACACTGAGGGGTGGGATCTTAGAAATGGTATCTAAGCAAACTATAAGCTGTTAGGACAGTAGAATTACATATAAACATCCTGTGTCGGCAGGAAGGCTGGCTGAACAGGAGGTCGTCTGTGTAGTTTGATTAGGATAAAGTGATAGCTTCCATTCTATTGATTATATTTATATATTTTTTATTTAAAATAAAAAGACATATCCTGACCAGGAGCACATATGCTTTATAGATGGCAGAGAGCGCCATCTAGTAGAACAGAAATCAACTAAACATTGATTTAGCCTGTTTCCTGATATTTGGCCAACCCAATTTCTTGATAAATCAAGAAAAGTCATCCACGAACGCGTTTTTTTTTTTTTCATATATTTTTATGAGTCTAAAATCTTAATAAAGACTTTGCGCATCAATAAAAATGTATAAAATGTTGACGAGTAATTGATGGATACTTTGACAGAATTTTTGTTTTTAAATACAAGGGAGTCGGTGGAAGGATGGTCTAAACCATTGGTTGTCGACAGCTACGACCCGGGATCGATTCCCGCATTGGACACTTTTTTCTGATAAAAAAAAATGCTCCAATGGCCCCCGATTCTTGTAAAAGTCCAACCCCACCAGCGAGTGCAAGTAACTAAACGGGGCTCTGGAATATTTGTAAGTGCAAAAGTCGACTGCTTTTCGCATGTGTAGACATGTGGTGTACTTACAGTTAAAAGTAGTCGCTAACTACCCACCATGATTATCATGGCCTGTACCACGTGTACTGTAACGGCAGCTGGCATGCCTACAGGATATATAGTAAATTATCAGTGAGCACATTACTGATGGTACTCTGTGGAGTTGTCTTATTGTAATATATATCCACATGTAAACTTATGTCGGCAGTATTGAACCCGTCTCTGCCACAACCTGAACTCCGCGGATCACCACCCTGCTCTACATCCCGGCGCTCCTGGCCTCACCTGGCGATGATCCCTGGCCACCCATCCCCCCAGGCCCATCCAACTATGCTTTTTATATATTCCGCTTTATGCGTCCATCGGGGCTCAAAAATCATTCATTTTGGTTAGCAGCCCCGTAAAATAAAGATATTTTCTCTCTCTATGTCGGCAGTTAGGCTAAAGAAATAAAGCATATAAAGTTGGAATCCTCTGATAAGTATAAGTAAAGAAATAAAGACTTTTCTTTTAAACTTACAAATACTTCTTGCTGCTTAACGTCCACTAACAAACACGAGGACGTTACATATACTATGGATAATATATATATTTTTAAATACAATGTTTTGAATATATTTTATTAATATTTTTATAATATAGCTTCAATAATAAAAAGTCGTCAATTGAAACCCTGATTATTACAAATTTGATATTTTAGAATTGGCGATATCTAAAACAAGAAAGCAATATCTACATATGGTATTTCTGCTATCTTAAGTGTCTAAGCCTGATAAAGGTGGGAAGATTGATACGGCTGTTGAGAAGGAAGAATTTACGTATGTTTGACTTTAACAGACACATGGCCAGATAACGTTTTATTTCCTTAACATTTCGACAAAAATCTTTTGTCTTCGTCAGGAGAAATAATAAAGTATTTGACAAAGCGTTAAAATCTATTGTTCTCTAATCTAAATGATTTAACTTTCTTATATCAGCCACTTTGTCGATTAATACATGTAAATTTTTAAATTCTAAGTTCTAATTTGTTTGTTGTTTTGTTTGTTTTATTTGTAATAGGCGCAAATATTTCAATATCGCCGCATGGTTGATTAATAAATATATAAAAAAGATTTTAAAAATTATTCTGAGGTTTATTTATTTCTCCAGACGAGGACAAAATATTTTTGCTGAAACGTTGAGAAAATAAAACTTTATCTGGCTGAAGTGTCTATTATATTAGAAATATGAATGCCGGGGCCAGGCAACCTCTATCTTAAAGATATGTTTTAGTACTTTACATTTAATTGTAACTCCGCCTTTGCCGGTCCCAAGTCCGGATTAAAAAGGAGGAGGGGGAGCAGTAACAAGCTCGCTAAAAAACCTAGGCTCAGCTGGCCCGGTGATAGTACCCTGTAAGGGCTCCTAATCCAGGGATACAGGATGAGCAGCGTTTGTACTCCATGTTAGGAGCATCTGCACATGGCGTCTGTTCCTCATGTCAGAGGCGGCCATTTCTTTTGGAGCTAAGTCGACCTGCCACGGAGTAGTGCTCCCAATCTTAATGACAAAGGCAGACGCATTCTACTTCACCCAATCATGATGGTTGTCAAACAGACACCATCAAGGGTCACAACTTGATACCCTAATATGATTGAGTGGAGATAAGAAAGAATACATTTAATTGTGTGCGCTACAGGTTGAATCATTTCGTCGGTTATTTCCAGAGAGAAAGAGAAGATTAGCGAGAATTAATGTTATCATTCTGGGCCAACTGGGTGTTATCAGCAATTTGACATTGCAGAGACATCGGGAGTGAGAGTAGATTTCTTCACAGCGTTAGAGAGCTCTTCACTCAATCAGATAGGTTGGTATTGTTTTGAAAATAGAGAAATCCATAAATAGATATTTAATTAAAAAGGCACACATATTGTGGATTAAAAAAAATATTTATTTTCCATTAATTTACATATGTTGTATTATAATGCATTAGAGCGCCATCTGTTATGAAAATTCGAAACTATTATAGACGCGTATGATTCTTTTTGAAATTAAACAATATCTACTGCCCTTACTGCAATGGAAAAATCAATGGGAGGGTCTTGTTGTATGTTGTTGAAAAAGGTTGGCGTTCAGCCAACTGAAATATTGGTTAATAAATTATTTTTTAATCCAATATATGCCTTTTTAATTATAGGTTGGTATTTTAAATACAATTTGTATATCTTCTTTTACATACTATTTATTTCTAAGTATGTGAAAGACTATATATAGAATTTTCTTGATTGATCAAGAAATTGGGTTGGTAAAATATCAGGAAACAGGCTAAACAATGCTTAGTTGATATCTGTTCCACCAGATGGCGTTCTGCCATCTAAAAAGCACATGTGTTCCTGGTCAGGATATGCCTTCTTTGTTTTTAATATATAAAATGTTTCCCGGTTGTAAGACTACTCGCTCAAGTTAGAATACTTTCAAGTTTTTTTAGAGAAAACCACACCAAGATGCTCTGCGGTGAGGACCCGACTTGTACCTTCTGTAATTCAAAACTAAAAAATGAAATCACTCACTATATTTTTGATTGCTCTGCTCTGAAAGAAGAAAGAAGAACCCTTATGCTCAAAACTGGGCAACTCTGTGCTTCACTTCCATCAATAATTGACAATATGACCCAGAATAAGTATATTGCTACGGCGTTTTATGGTTTCCACAAGTCCATATCTCAGAAGAAGGCCAAGTGATACTCACTCCTCACTTTCTTACTGCTACTCTTTTTGTGTTGATTTCTTGCTTCCCTCTTTCTTATTATTCTTTTTTTTTTCCTTTTCTTGTTTTTTTTTTTCTTTCTCTTTTTACTCTGTATATATCGTTACTTCCTTTGTCTCACTGCTTTGTTCTTATGCATACCTCTGGTGAATCCTGTATAGGGTCAGTGACCCTAAATAAAGGCTTTTTTGTTGTTGTTGTTGTATATAAAATGTAAAGCAGTAACGCGCCATATATATAGGAAATGAAAGGATTAAAACACGAATGTTTCTTTTATACATAAAACAAACTTCTACTGTCCTTACTGCGATGTAAATATTGGAAGGGCTTGGTTCATCAGTGGTGAACCCTCCCAGAGGTCTCGCCCATTTAATTTCATGTGTAGAAGAATCATTCGTGTTTTAATGCTTTCATTTCAATATAGAATGGCAGAAATTGTAATTGAAAAGTAACACGTGTTGTTGTTAGCATCAGTTTCTTGTATTTGAGAAGTTTAGACATGTGTATACGGCATCTTATGTTTCAAAACTTCTTGTTCTTGAGCGAACCAAGCAGCCATAAAACGGTTGCTCAGTCAAACATTCAGTGTCAGAGAGAGAACGCCTAATATGGACAGGTAAACAATAAATACCATTCAGCTACAGCTAGCATCTTATTTGTCGTTGTGAGAGGATACGGATAATCTTTATTTACGGGGCTGCTAACCAAAATAAAATGATTTTTGAGCCCCCAATGGCCGCGTAAAGCGGAATATATACAAACCACTATGGCCAGGCTGGGGAGGCTAGGGACAGTATCTCCGTTAGAGAAGAGGCAGGTTAGGCCGGATTGGGTCCGCGGAGGTCAGGAAGCAGGAGGGAGGACTAGAACTTTGCAGCTCTAGCTCTGGCAGTTGGGTAAGACATTGATCTTGCTTCGTGGTCGGCAGAGAGACCCTTGGCTGAGCAAAAAAGGCAATAGCCTACAGGTGGTCACCCTCCCAAGTACTGACCGGGCCCGACATTGCTTAACTTCGGTGATCGGACGAGAACCGGTGTTTTCAATGTGGCATGGTCGTAGGCTGTGAGGGGATACCTGAAGATGATTATATATATTTTCTTATAATTGGTTACAGAGTAATTTGTTATTTATAATACGATACCGTGCCATCTATTCAATATCATCCATCAATATATATAAGAAGCATTTAATCAAGAATGTTTCTTTTTTTCAAATATAAACACAAACTTCTTATAATTAACTATACCTAACTGGTGCTTATTGTTTGCAGAAGAGGATTGCTCGATGCAAATATTTATATATAACTAGCGGATGTACCCGGCTTCGCCCGTGTTTTACCTGAGTAAAGGTTTGTCTAACGAATCTCTCGATAAAGTGAACATTTTTTCCCGGTCCCTTGAAAAATACTCGATAAGTTGAATAAAATCAATATTAATCGGTACCCGAGTAAAGGTCTGTCTAACGAACATTTGTTAAAACAATTCTCTATAAACTTATAAAAAGAAATAGATATATTTTGATAATTTGAAACTGATAAAGTGATCATTTTTTCCCGGTCCCTGTGTGCCGTGTCATTCTGAATTTTGTCTTTCCTAATTTTCTACATTACAAAATCATCGTTTTATCTAGTGAACATTTTTTCCCGGTCCCTTGAAAAATACTCGATAAGGTTGAATAAATTCATGGTCGTTTATGGAAGATGGACGAAGTTCCCGGAGGTCATCTTGGGCAAGCTCCCGCGAGGCTTTTTTTCTTGTCTACTTGGCATAGCTGTGTCACCAACTCTGCCCTGATTGGTCGGTGGGTACTGGCGGCCGGGCGAATCCATTCTCTCACGGGGTGGGGCAGACCCAAGGTCATCAGGAGCAGCAAACTTAAGCCTATCTCCGTCTCAATGGTGGCGCTGCTTGCGAGTTAAAGCTACAAATCTGCAAATAACTCTAAGGATATTAAAGATATTCAAGATATTATTTTTCGTAAACCTTTCCGGGGATATGCCTAATAATATCCCAAATTTTCACGGCGATTGGATGTATGGTTTTTGAATCCATAGAGGACACACACACACACACTCGGCCGTGCGGCACGCATTTGTCGAGCTCCGCCTTTTTCCCACCCTGGCGGGTGTATGGCTACCGGCAGTACGCCGAATTTAGCACGGGCTGAAAGCCCATTAAAAGCTGATCAAATGCCTGAAAGGCACAGCAACGTAGCACATCCCTGTGCAGAGAAATCTGCAATTTTCAATTCGCAGAGAAATATCTCGAATACTAATGAGAGAATTGAAACTTATGCAAATTCTCCCGCCGGCGGAAGAAATGTAAATTCCGTCCTCGTTCAACTTGGCGGCTCTCCCTTCTTCCAACCGCGGTGCCGATGCCCAAAGAAACTGGGCAGACTATGCCGAGAATGTGAATTCTGAGGAGGATGACAGCTTCACAGTCGTAAAAGGCAGGAAGAGGCGCCGCGACTCGCCGGATCTGCCTGCCATGGCCGCGCAGTCTAACAGCGCTGGCACTTCTCGCCGACAGCGACCGTCGACGGGACGGATGCCCCAGGTCCAGGAAATCAGGACCACGAGGGCACACGTCATGGAGGCCAGGGCTCGCCAGGCGTCCTGCACCGAGGAGCAGTGCTGTTTCCTCGAGTTCTGTCCGGAATACCAGACCTACCAGTACATGAAGGCTTTGGAAAAGGTGGTCGGAAGCACAGGAAACATTGTCCAGTTCACTAAGGTGAACGGGCAATACTTGGTCGGACTCGCCAACAGATCCCTGGCGGAGCGCCTAGTTCGAGAGGGCCTCGAGATCGAGGGAACCCTTCTCAAGACCTTCCCCTTCAGGAGAACTTCAATCAGAGTTACGATTGGGAACCTCCCCTTCTTTGTGGGAGACGCCGCCGTCATGGATGCTCTCTCCAGATACGGCCGAATAACCTCCATCGCCCCCAAACAGCTTAGGGTTGGAGAGTTTAATTTCACCGACGGCCGCCGGGAGGCCTTTATACTCCTCCATGACGGCATAACCGTCGAAATGCTCCCCTCTCGATTCGAACTGAGGATCAAGGGCGAGCCATGGCCAGCTTTCCTGACCCACGGAGTCAAATGCTCGAAATGCCGTGGTCAAGGTCACCGAAGAGCAAACTTCCCCCAACTCCATGGGCGTCCTACTACCGCCAGACGGGCCTCACCGCCCCCTTCCACCGGCCTTCCACCATCGACCGCACCTGGGCTGCCTGGACCGTCTCCGGCCGCGCCAACCCCGCCGGCGCCTACCAGCTCAGCTGTCAGGCTTTCCGGCGCTCAACCAGATGCCCGAGTTGCGTCCCCACCATCTACGGCGCCCCGGCCGTCTACACCAGCGCCTCCGGCCTCATCTGTGCCGGTGGCGGCCCCTGTTCCTCCATCAGTGGCCCCTGCACCTGTAGATCCCGCGGGCCCTCGCTCGGCAGCAACTGAGCCGACGCCTCCCGCCCGGCCGGACTTCATTGCCCCGTGTGGCCCTCTGCCTGCACAGGGGACCCTCGGACCTGCGACCCACACACCGGATGTCGACATGACCACCACTGAGGAGCCCTCTGCTCCCTCACCAGCCGCAGTTTCAACACCCCCACTGCCTGCGCCTCAGCCTGCTGGGCCGACACCATCTGCTCCCCACAAAGAGGATCCGACACCGGCTATGACACCTCCGTCCCCACCACCTACCCCGATGGAGGAAGACCTGCCGCCGAACCTGGGTGATTGCATCCATAGAATTTTAAGAGAGATCATCATTTCCAAAATCGACCCTGGACCCTTGGTCGATGATGAAATCTCCTGGACCGACGCCATTGATGCCATCCTACATCCCCATTCTAGGGCGCCTTTCCTTGCGAGACTCTCGCCTATTTTGAAGAAAAACTACGCTGTCTTTTTCGAGGCGGCCATCGAGCGCGCTCGGGATTCCCATCCCAGGATCCTCAGCGGGTTGTCCGAGCTCAGGAGGGCCTTGGCTCCCAAGACTAGACGTCACCGCGGCAAGCGCTAACCTAATGTATATACCCCTCTCTTCTCTCTTTCTCTTTGAGATGTAACATTGTCTAGAAGACAATAAATAATTTTCAATTGTCACACACACACACACAGACAGACATTCAATTTTATATATATAGATTCTACTGTCCTAAAAGCTTATGTCCATAGTTTGCTTGAAAACCATTTCTCTAAGATTCCGCCCTTCAGTTCAGCATATATAATTATATATCCCTATCTTTGCCAGCTTATTTTTAGTGTATTACAAATTTTATAGAAATAAAATGAAGTATTTGAGATTAAAATTTGCCAAGTTTGCTATCTTCCCTGGTTGGGTAGAGATATATTTATACGATCACATTTCGTGTTATGTGGTCAAGAGACGAGGGAGTCCAGTAACTGTGGGAGAGTGTGAAGCTAACAAAGTGAGGCTTTTTTTTTTTTTTTTACAATTTAAACAAATATATTGATTCTTCTAATCAATTGTCACAGAAAAATATTAAAATAAAATAAAGGATAATATATAATAAAGGGTAGATAAAATGTAGGGAAATATATACAGTTGTATATGTGTACAAATTTCTTCAGCAAGGGAGGCTTCCCCACCTTAATAGAGTTCTCCTCCAGACAAGGTATTTTTGAACACTCCTCAGTTCAACGCCGAGGAAGTACTTATAGATGTGCGCCTTGGCATAAAAATGAAAGGGAATCTTATAGACTATGCAACTAGAACAGCGTGCTATGGGATTCTATAATAACTGGTCTTAGATGTTTATTACTGGAAATCGGCTGATGCCGTGATTCAACAAGAAAAGCCAATCAAGTATACGTTTGTGTCTGTTGGCAATGTGGTGAAGGCTTTATATATATATATATATACCACAATGATCTACTAAGATGTTCGCAGAGGTTAACTCAAGAAAATGGTATTAAGAACAGAATGTGCTTAAATTACACAGAATTACATTATGAAAGAGGTAAAAAACATGGAGACATTTAATGTCTAGTTAGTAAGAAAATGGAATAGAAAATAAGAAAAATCTAAAGGACTATAGAGTTTTAATGAGTATATATGTCAAATAATCTAATTGATTTTTTAAAATGTGATGCAGATTGGATTTATATGTACAGTAGGTCCTTAAGACAATACGGAAGGGATTATGGAATTACCACATTTGGTTGAAACCTATCCACCTAGAATACTTTCAGTGATCGATTCGATTTATTCTACGGATTTACCAAAATAATGATCCTTTTATGATTGTTGTAGGAGCAGGAAGGAAACATCTGAAGAATAACTTGGGCATCAAGAAGAATTATTCGGGCTGTGATTAAAAACTAATAATTTGTGTTCCTCGGGTAACAATATTCTTGTATTGAGCCAGGTTCCTGGAACATACATTTGGCGCTATTAGAGAACAATATTCTTGTATTGAGCCAGGTTCCTGGAACATACATTTGGCGCTATTAGAGAACAATATTCTTGTATTGAGCCAGGTTCCTGGAACATACATTTGGCGCTATTAGAGAACAATATTCTTGTATTGAGCCAGGTTCCTGGTACATACATTTGGCGCTATTAGAGAACAATATTCTTGTATTGAGCCAGGTTCCTGGTACATACATTTGGCGCTATTAGAGAACAATATTCTTGTATTGAGCCAGGTTCCTGGTACATACATTTGGCGCTATTAGAGAACAATATTCTTGTATTGAGCCAGGTTCCTGGTACATACATTTGGCGCTATTAGAGAACAATATTCTTGTATTGAGCCAGGTTCCTGGAACATACATTTGGCGCTATTAGAGAACAATATTCTTGTATTGAGCCAGGTTCCTGGAACATACATTTGGCGCTATTAGAGAACAATATTCTTGTATTGAGCCAGGTTCCTGGTACATACATTTGGCGCTATTAGAGAACAATATTCTTGTATTGAGCCAGGTTCCTGGTACATACATTTGGCGCTATTAGAGAACAATATTCTTGTATTGAGCCAGGTTCCTGGTACATACATTTGGCGCTATTAGAGAACAATATTCTTGTA